TTGGACTCAGAAATAACGTTGGTAGTATATTAATTTTCTGTTGTTATAATGTTATCGTTTTATATTGTGCGCAACGCTCATCGCGACAGCCATGATGTACATGATTATCCTACATACGATGCGTGAGTGCGTATACACGTGTGTCAATCGAGGAGTGCGGAGTGCTCTTTATTTACAGCATAATTATATATAAGTAGTAACTATTATATTCTAAAAGTTGTATATTAATGATAAAAATTCAATTAACCATATACGTGCTATAATTATTTGTGCTATGAATAGTAGCTGGTGATGTAGGATTCATTTTCCGATTTACAAGAGAGATTTACAAAAGAGAGGAAATATCAATTAATTTTTTTACGTTCTATAATAGATTTGTCCTTGGACATTAAAAATATCATCAAGGTTCGTCAATGCTATTATTTCAATGGTACCAAACAGTGTAACTTCCTATAAAATAACCTCAAAATTTAGCAAAATATGTAAATGATAACGTATAAATAAGCTGGTACACTATGTATGAAGACGATTTGTTGAAGTATTGTGCGGCTTTAATACATCATTGTTTGCATATATCACTGTAAAAGTAATTTAGTATAAAATTGGTATAAAGTTGATAGATATGTAACAAACGATCAGTACAAACAAGACCAAAACTGACTTTTTATTTATTTCTATATTTTTTTCATATATATGTGCTATAATCACACTCTAAAGTATATAAATAGATTATTGTAAGCATATTTTATATGTACAGGGCAATGAATATGTCTTAACATATGGGATCAATTGTTGTATCAAATTCAAAAAACCACCATTTGAAAAATTTGACCCTGGCTAAGATAAACATCAGTGAACAATATATTATAAGGAAAACTCTGTACAAGATACTAGAAATGCTAAAAGATGACCAAGAAGCTTTTACACAAGTCGTAAGTAAAGCTGCTTATTATAATTAAATTATGTATATATTAAATTGCAACCTTTTTCTTATCTAAACTATATTGAATTCTTCTTGTTTTAGAGGCTATTAGACAACAATCCCTTGTAATACAGAGAAAGACTTGGAACACTCTATAATGGAATAGCTTAGATTTGCAAACATCCGTAAACAAAGGAAAAAATCTTAAAAGGTAAAAAAGTAATATAATGTATTTATGTCTGTTAAGTTAGCACCCTCCATAAAAAACCGGAATAACACATGTGCAGAAATTAAGTGCTCTTTATGCGTTAATTATGTGCTCTATTCACGATTTTTGTGCTCGAGCGGTTTCGTGGGAAATTGCAATTGAAACTGAGGGTGCTGGCTTAAAGTAAGCTAGCACCCCCACTCATTAAAATTACATATAAAATAAAAAACTCAATATGCTAGAATTATATGCTTTTTATGTGCTTTCAAATGCCTTAAACAAAATTAGTCTATCTGTAATAGTTTAAAAAATATACGCAAAAAAAGATATATATACTACTGATATAAGAATAAAGTATCAGTTAAAATAGAGAAAGCGAAATAATTCTTGTCTTAAAATGTTTCTCGATTAATGTGTTCTCGAAATATGCACAATGAAATTTTCGTGCTTATCCCCTTCGACCGACCTGAACGTGAGTACCCCATACGTACAAGAGTACCTAACCAGTTAAAATACAGGTAGCAAATTGGTTTTAGTCTTAAAATATTTCTCAATTTATGTGCTCCCGAAATATGCACAATGATTTTAAAAGCATAAAAATCACATTAATTTTTTTTGTTAATGTAATTTTTTGATACAAATTTTTTAAATAAACAATTATATATGTAATATCTAAATATTCTATTACCATATTTTTTTATACATCATAAAACAAATATATCCTTCAAGTATTAGTCACGCAATTGTAGCGTGAACTGTACTATCATTCATGTAATATTATCATGAAAAACAATACACAAGAGATTCTATATAAATACAAATTAAAGTTTACTAAAGAGTAACTAATTTTAAAAATTTCATTTTGTTTCTATTATTAGAAAGGGAATGTTAAAAATTAATTAAACATATGTTTACTTATATGTATTTATATATTGTTCAGAATCTCAGTGACCCGTTCTCCATAATATTTAGCAACTTTGCAATACTTACTCCTAACTAATATTAAATAACTTTAAAAATGTATACAAATACATATACAAATACATATAAATAAAAATTTTTCTGAAATCTTATTAAACAAGTTAATCAATACATTAACCAAAACAAAAATCTTATTCTGTTTATTTTGAAAACACATAAGTTGAGGAACATTTTAAGACTAAAACCAATTCACTATCTATATTTTAACTGGTACTTTATTTTTATACGTATGGGGTGCTTACGTTTGGGTCGGCCGAAGGGGATGAGCAAAGAAATCTCATTGTGCATATTTTGAAAACACATAAATTGAGGAATATTTTAAGATTAAAACCAATTCGCTATCTGTATTTTAACTGGTACTTTACTCTTGTACGTATGGGGTGTTCACGTTCGGGTCGGTCGAAAAAGATGAGCACAGAAATCTCATTGTGCATATTTTGAAAGCACA